TCTCCTCCTCCTCTCCTCCTCCTCCTCCTCCTCCTCCTCCTCCTCCTCCTCCTCCTCCTCCTCCTCCTCCTCCTCAGGACCCTGCAGGATATCCTGCGCCCAAGCCCGGGTCAATGCGACCCTGGCCCTGCAGAATCCTGCAAGATCCGGCGCTCTGGCTGGCCACCGTTTGCATTGCCCCCCGTCTCTTGAGCCCCACTCCTGGCGCCCAGTTTTGCTCCCGGCCCTCCGCGAGGATCGAGGAGGGGTTTCGGACGTCTTCAGACGCTGATTTGGGCGTTTTCGGCCCTCTTCGGGCCTTTCAGGGACCTCCGGGGACCTTGGGGGGTTGAGCATTCAGGGCGGGAGCAAAATTCACCAACTCCTTGGGGAAAGGGGCCCAGGACGAGACGGATCGCACCCTGGGAAGCGGTCGGGACTTCTGGGGCCGCGGGTTGAAAAAATCAGTCGGTGAATGTCAGGGATCTTCGATCCTCTTCTTCCTCCTCCTCCTCCTCCTCCTCCTCCTCCTCCTCCTCCTCCTCCTCCTCCAGCGCGCGCGGCACCACGGAGGGAAGACTGCAGACGCTGTGCTATACGACAACGGGGCGAAACTGTGGAAGGGCAGGGACATGGACCGCGTCGCCGGGCCACTCGCGGCTTTTGTTATACCGTGGTGTGGTGGTACCTCCCGGAGGGGGAAGGCCAACACAAACTCAAGGTGCGTAACGCTGCGTCACGCCCAGACGTTCTCGAGCAGATTCGTGCCAGTGCTTCTGTCATCACATTTCCGGAAATGCCCTGGTGGGGGAAAGCAGCGCCTGGCATGCCAGCATGTGTCTACATCATGCTCTGAATTTCTGTGAGCAAGCAGCAGCGACAGGAGCAGCAGGAGCGCATGAGCAGCAGCAGCAGCAGGAGCCGGGCGGCCCGCGGCGGGGCGAGGACCGCGGCAGGGCGAGACCCGCGCAGCCGCCTTCCCTGCGGCGCGGGGCCCGACGAGCCGAGGGAGAGCGCCCCGGGCGCCAAGGCACGCCCGCGGAACGGCGCGTCGCCGCGGCAGCGGCACGTCGTAGTCGTCGGGCGCCAGGGCGCGCCCGTGGAACGACGCGCCCCCGCGGCAGCGGCGTCACGTCGTCATCGTCGTCGTCGTCGTCGTCGTCGTCGTCGTCGTCGTCGTCGTCGTCGTGGTCGTCGTCGTGGTCGTCGTCGTGGTCGTCGTCGTGGTCGTCGTCGTGGTCGTCGTCGTCGTCGTCGTGGTCGTCGTCGTCGTCGGCGGCGGCGGGCCGCGGGAACGCCCCGGGGCGGGCGGGGCCCGCACACGCGAGAGGCGCGGCATGGGGGCAGGGCGGGGGGTACCCACTCGCGGCGGCCGGGCGGGGGTGGGGGGGCGGGCGCTCCTGCTTGTCGACCACCTGGCGGGGGCTGGAACGGGAGGCGGGTCCTCGACCTCCGCCCCAAGAGGAGGGCCGAGAGTCGAGGAGGCAAGAGGACCAAGGACCGAGGAGGGGGAGGATGAGGATGAGGATGAGGATGAGGATGAGGATAGAGGTGAGATGAGGATGTGGTTGAGGAATGAGTGTGGAGGAGGAGGAGGAGGTAGGGAGGAGGAGGAGGAGGAGGAGGAGGAGGAGGAGGAAGGAGGAGGAGGAGGAGGAGGAGGAGGAGGAGGAGGAGGAGGAGGAGGAGGAGGAGGAGAGGAGGTGGAGGAGGAGGAGGGGGAGGAGGAGGAGTGAGGAGGAGGAGGAGGCGGAGGAGGAGGAGGAGGAGGAGGAGGTAGGAGGAGGAGGAGGAGGAGGAGGAGGAAGCAGGAGGAGGAGGAGGAGGAGGAGGAGGAGGAGGAGGAGGAGGAGGAGGCTGATGAGGAGGAGGAGACTCTGCCTCTGGAGACTCTGCCTGATCGCGTAGCGATATGATTAAATCCGCTTGCACCTACTTCGGGTGCTTTTGCCCACTCTTCTGGTTCTTCTCAGCTCGGCTGAGAACCTTAAACCAGCGACCTGATTTCAATACGCGTAAATTCTCACGACCCGTGGCTGTAGGGGGTTCGCATTCAGAGGCAAGTTTCCCCGTCTTATGGGAGACGAGCATACCGCAGTGGGAACAAAACCAAATCCCCAGCCCAGCGTGGAACCTCGGACGATGGGTTAAATCAACCCACCCCCCGGCTACATGTACCTGCCTGCCCAGGGGGTCTCATATAAATGCCATCTACATTAAGAAGGTTAAAGCACTCTGACTTATAAAACTCGACTTTGGTAGTTATTGTTGCTGATCCTTTGCAGACGGTATACATATGGCCTGTCTCACCCAACTGGTGGGTTGAGGCAAAGGCGGCGCAGAGAGCTGGGGCAGGAGGCTTGACAGGCTGTATTCTGGCTCTACGAGGCGGTCGGTGTCCTGTAGGGGCACTCTGGCCTGCTAGTCTCTGGGCTCGTTCGAATTCAGGTGCTTCCAGCTGGCCCTGCTTTCTTTGTTTGTAGCTGTCCACAACCGAGGGCCTGGAGGTCGAGGTCGGCCCTCCTCTCTGGAGCCGCGCGGCTGCCCTGCTCGCGCGGGAGGTGCCTGTCGGCCTGCTGGAGCAGCCCCCGTCGCTAGGGCCTCCCATGCCGCGCTGGATTGGGGGGGCGTGGGGGCGGGCCGTGCTCCCAGGGGCCGGGCCGCTCGCTGTCCTGGGCGGCGCCGCGGGCGAGCTCTGGAAAGGGGATCTGCCTGGGGCAGAGGGGGCATGGGGCCAGCGCGGTAGCTGGGGGCCCCGCCTGGCGGAGAGACCCCGGAGCGGCGGAGAGGGGGGGGCCCGCTGAAGCGAGGCCACGGACCTCCATGCTTCTCTTCTCGACCTGCTCGTTTCGGCTCGAGAGGCCCATGAATTGGCCGCCGATGGCCTCCAGCAGATCGTGCTTTACGCTCCCGAAGGCGCTCTGCTGATCGTCGCGCGAAGCGGTGGCGCGCCACGGGGTTGCGGCCCTCTTCGCGCTGATCGCTGCGGGCCCCTGCCTCGTCGCGCGCTCCGCGCCTGCCTGCCGCGGGAGGGGCGGCTGGCGCGGGTCTGTCCGCGGGCGAGGCCAGCGGCGGCGTCGCCCGTTGAGGGGGCGCGCCTGGCGGGCGGGACCATGGGTCCCCGGGCCTTCCCAGAAGCCCTCTCCCTCCGCGCGCGACCGGGCTGCCCGCCGCGTGGGCGCTGCGTGGCCGACCTGCCCTCGCCTGCGTGGCAGCCTCGCGGGCTGCGTCGACCTCGTCGTGTCCCGTGCCCTCGCCGTCGTGCTCGTCGGCGGTGAGGTACCTCTCCCCGTCGATCTGCCCGTTGACGGAGAGTTGGAAGCCGATGCGCCCATGGGCGGCCCAGGGGGCGGAGTCGGGGAGCACGGCAGGTCGGAGCAGGATTCCGATGTTCGAGTCGTCGGGCTGCGGGGCGAGATCGGCCAGCTCGAGCGGGTGGCTGCGCGGCTCCGCCAGCTGAGTCGAAGAACTCGATCACCTCGTCCTCCGCGCAGCTCTCGGCGAGCCGCGCCGGGGGCGACGGCGAGACCTTCGCGCAGACCATGCCAGCTGGCATCTCCTCGCCCAAAGCCGACCGCAGCGTCACCGAGACGCGGTCTACGGAGGCGAGCGGGCCGGCGTTGTAAGGGAGGCAGACGGCAGGCACCACGATGGGGAGCTCCTCCAGCTCGACGTCGCTGAGGTCGTCCTGTGTCAGGGCGTCGACGGCGACGGGGTCATCGAGCCGCGCGAACTTGGCGCCGACGAGCCGGGCCTCGCACCTCGCTGCCGTGCCGGCGGCGCGGGCCCCGGCTGCAGGCAGCTCTAGCAGCCGCGAGCAGAGCCATGACGTCCTTGGTCTGCTACAGCGCCCCAGATGTCAACGTCGTACCATGGTCCAATCGAAGACCTTGACCGTGTATGAGTCGTCCCGCTACTCGTTGAAGAGCTTGTCGATTGCCTCGCCCAGCAAAGGGGGCCGACGAGGGCGATCCCGCCCGCTAGTATAGTTGCCGTCTCCGAACCTGACGACGACCGCCTGCCACGCGACCGCGCCTCCTGGTGCACCCCGACGAGGTCGAAACTCCAATCCGGGGCGGCCCAGATCGCTTAGCAGTGGCTGTCAGCGGCAAGGACGGCGGGCGGGAGTGGCCCCTGAGCAGGCCTCGAATCCAGGGGCAGGCTCGGCGCTCTGGCCGCGGGCCCTCTGCGCATCAACCGCGGGCAGTCCCAGCGCGCAGCGCGGGGTGGGCTCGGTCCGAGAGAGCTGCAGATTACATCCTTCTACCACCATCACCACTTTGCTCACATCATCATCATCATCATCAACATCATCATCACCATCGTCGTCATCATCATCGTCATTATCATCATCACCACCACTATTGCCATTATCATCACCATCACCACCATCATCATTCTCATCATCATCATCATCATCATCATCATCACCACCACCATCATCATCATCATCATCACCATCATCAACAACATCATCATCATTAGCATCATCATCAGCATCAGCATCGCCATCATCATCATCATCATCATCATCATCATCATCATCATCATCATCATCATCATCATCATCATCATCATCATCATCATCATCATCATCATCTATCATCATCATCATCATCATCATCATCATCATCATCATCATCATCTAATATCATAATTCATCTCATCATTCATTCACATCTTATAACATCATGTCATCACATCTTCATCATAATCATCATATCATCATAATCATCAACATCATCAGAATCATTCATTCACATCACCATCACCGTCATCATCATGCGCAGCAGCAGCGCAGCAGAAGCTTCGCAGTCAGATCACCATCACCTCAGCTTATAGAGCCGTGCTTACGATGGGATCGTTGCGCGCTCGTTCATGCACCGCTCCACTCGTCGGCGGCGGCGTTGTCGTCGTAGTCGTGGTGCGTGTTGCTTTGCTCGGGACTTGTGTTCCTTGTTCAATGGCCACTACCGACACCTCCTCCTCCTCCTCCTCCCTCCCTCCTTATCGCTCCTCGCTGCTCCCTCCTCCCTCATGCTCCTCTCGAGCCCAGGAAGGGAGACAACCGCAAAACAACTGCCGGGGCGAGGAGGTCAGCGGCGGGCAGGGCATAAGGGATGGAGACGAGTACGAAGCGGGGGGTTCTTCCATCACCACCGCCTGGGTGATTGATCTTCGGGGTGCTCTGTTGGCGGTGGGTGTGGATACAACCGAGCAGTGGCCACAGGAGCGAGGATCAAGAACACGAGCCCCCTCGCCGAGGGCCCCCGGGCCCCAGGAGGAGAGACAGAACGATCCGCCTCCCAAGGCGGCACGCCCAAACGCGAAGGACACGAGAGCACACCCCCCACAGAGCCAGGGCTGCTCTTGACCCTCGTGCCGACTAGGGAGCCCACAAAGGACGCACGCGCCCAGCTATGTACATGAACACGGCCCCTCGATCTGCGAGACCGGCCGCGTGATGCGAACTTTCGGGCGATGCGTACTCTCGAAACCAGCGTGGAGTCATGTACGTGTACGTCCTTCGTTCGCTCCTGACCGACAGCATCCGTGGCCTCCCCAGGGCGCGAACGCGTCCACAGCCACTGCCTGCCGAGATCACCTGAGATCGATCCCCCAGGCGGTGGCCCCGACTGGCCACGACCGGGGAGCCGTGCTCCCTTCGCCCCTGGGGGAACCCGTCGTGTCGACGACCCTTTAGGAAAGGGGATCGAAACCGACGGGCAGGACCTCAGCTCCGCCAAGTATGGCTGGTCTGTGGTCATATGCCCAGCCGCCCGACATACTCCTCCTCCTCCTCCTCCTCCTCCTCCTCCTCCTCCTCCTCCTCCTCCTCCCCCTCCTCAGTATGGCTGGTCTGTGGTCATGCTTTTTCTCAGTGCGCGGCCCCCAGAAGTCCTGACCCTCTCCCCAGGGGCCGCCGGCTTCTCATCCCGGCTGCGGGGCCCGGCGAGGACGCCCAGAGGTCGAGAAGGGCGAAAAGCCTTCGCCTTGATTTTGTCAAGACGTTGGCGTGTGGGGCCTCTGGAGCTCCGGGTCGCTCCTCTCGGCGGCGAGCGAAGGCCCTCCTGCTCGAGGTTCGAGGGTTTCGGACGCATTCGTCGGTTCTCGGCGGTTTTCTGGTCTCGGGATGCTTGCCAGCAGCTGCGCCTCTCCGAGGGCGTTCTAGGGGTTCCAGGATCGTCCCGAACGGCCGCGGGTCACAGGCAGTTGCTTGGCACGATTCTGGCACCCCCGTGAAAGATCCCGGGAAGGCGCAGGCCGGGAAACCGCCTGGAACAGACGAAAACGTAGGACAACTTCGAGCCTCCCAAGGATCCGCCTCAGAAGGGGACTACGCGACAGGTGGATGGGGCCTGCCAGGTCGTTTCAGGGCCGCGCCGCGGCCCCCCCGCGGCCCCGCCTGGCCAGGATATTCTAGGCCGACCGGGCCATTGTTCTCGGCGAGACTGGCGGCTGGCGGGAGGCAGCACGGCATGCGCGAGGTCCTGGAGGAGGGGGGGAAGAGGAGGCGGAGGAGGAGGAGGAGGAAGGAGGAGGCGGAGGAGGAGGAGGAGGAGGAGGAGGAGGAGGAGGAGGCGCTGCGAAGGAGGTGGAGGAGGAGGAGGAGAGGGAGGGAGGAGGAGAGGAGGAGGAGGAGGAGGAGGAGGTGAGAAGGAGCGGGTGGAGGAGGAGGGGGAGGGGGGAGGAGGAGGAGGTATGAGGAGGAGGTAGATGATGAAGATGCTTATGCTGATGATGATGATGATGATGATGATGATGATGAGGAGGTGGAGGAGGTGGAGGAGGAGGATGAGGAGGAGTAGGAGGAGGGAGGAGGGAGGAGGAGGAGGAAACGGGAGGAGGGGAGGAGGAGGATGCGGAGGAGAGGAGGAAGAGTGAGGAGGAGGGAGGAGGAGGAGGAGGACGAGGAGGAGGAGGAGGAGGAAGTGGAAGAGGAGGACGAGGAGCTAGAGTCACGTCCTCTGGTACTCCCTCTCTCGCACTTTCAAGAACATGAGAACATCCTTTTCCCATTGACTCAACACGTATAGCTAAGTCTCCAGCACTATATTCTGATATGAGAGAGCGTGATCCACCGCCGCTTCACTGTGGAAAATTTCCCCCCCTCTTCCTCCGGAGCCCGGGGTTCCTCCATCTCCGAAAATCCCCCCCCGCCCTTGACTGGACCCCCCCCCCTCTCTCCCCCCTGGCCAAAATCCCCCCCCTCCCCTAACCCCCCCCCTGCCGAAACCGGGCGGGGGTGTACGCATACCGGTTCTACAACCCCCTCCCTTCGGAAACCAGGGGGGGATGGTCACCAAGTACCGGTTCGAACCCCTCCCCCCCCCCTCCAGAAAACCAGAGAGGGGTCACTACCGGTTCGACCCCCCCCCTCTCCGGAAAACCGGGGGGGGGTCACTAGTGGTTCGAATCCCCCCCCCCCCCCAGCTCTCGAAAACCAGGGGGGGTCACTACCGGTTCGACCCCTCCCCTCTCTCGAAAACTGGGGGGGTCACTACCGGTTCGAAGCCCCCCCGCCCGGAAAACTAGGGGGTCACTACCGGTTCGAACCCCCCCCCCACGCTCACCGCCAGCAAACAACTCTGGGTCCCTACCACCATCGGCACCACATCCCCCACTGCTGTCCCCAGCACCACTGTCCTCACCATCGCTGTCCCCACTGTTCCCGCCACCGTCACCACTGTCCTCACCAGTGCCCCCACCACTGTCGCACTGTCCCCACTGTCCCCACCACTGTTCCCGCCACGGTTCCACTCTCCCCACTTTCTCCACGGCCCCAACCACTGTCCCACTGTCCCTACTGTCCCACTGTCCTCGCCGCTGTCACTGTCCCACTGTCCCCACCACTGTCCCGCTGTCCCCTCACCACTGTCCCCGCCACCACCGGTGATATGATTTGTTGTGGCATGAAAACCCGAACATGAAAGTGCGATCGAATCCACACATACCAGCTTCTGCAGCGCACGCTGGAGCGAGGACGCCGAAGACAGACTGGCGCGCGCTGGACGAGCCAGATGTGGCAGGTAGGTGGGCGGGAAGAACCCTAAGATCGTGGCGCCGCAATGTTTCAACGGGACTTCTGCCTCGTCTCGAGCCCTGGAACCCTTACGGCTCGATCCAACTCGAAGAATGCTGCAAGAAACTGGGGCTCAAGGCTCCAATCGAATTTCTTACGGTGTTGTACTTTTCCGTGGCCGCGGATCTCAGGGAGCGAGCGAGGCTTGACCACCGTGTATCTTGTTCGGCGCGTTGTTGTTCAATTCCCTCTGCCCGTCTCGTGCCCCCGTGGCGTGCGTCGAAGCCTCTGTTTGTCTCTGATCCGTGTGCGCATCGACGGGCGCCGCGGTCTTAGCGATCAGAGTCGGGGTGGCTAGAGGCGGAGCGGTTCCAGGGGCAGGCGGGGTATAGTAGACTCATCGGATAGGACATGTTGTTATGAGGAATGTTGGGGCACATTCTTCCTCGATCTCTGAGGGTATGGAATTGCCCCAGAGTTTCTGCGGGTCCCTGGGGCCATCGGGGGCAAGACAACTCCGTGGGGCACCTGCTAGCCTCAACAGCCCCGATACGCAACACGCAACACGTAGCCTATTGACACGGAGCTCAACACGCAGACTGAGAACGCAGGCCCGGCGCGATGCGTTCGCCCAAACGTGGGCCCAAACGTGCCGAGTCAACACACAGCGTGTCCACACGGACGTTCTGAACACGACACGTGTTGCGCCCCAGCATGTGTGTATAGGGATACGACCGAGGAGTCGATCCTACACTGGGGCCCGTAGGTAGAGGCAACGGAGGAGGAGGAGGAGGAGGAGGAGGAGGAGGAGGAGGAGGAGGAGGAGGAGGAGGAGGAGGTTTGCTACTCCTTTTCCTGGGCGCTGGGCGGAGAGCAGCGCACTGTGTATGTTAATGCCAATGCCTGAGCCGATACAGTTGCGGTATGTGACGATATAGTGGGGATATGAGCGGACTTCCCACACACAGCACGGGCGCATCCGGGCAGCTGAACTGCCGGCGGGCCAGGGGGAGGTCACGTCAGCCAGGCGGGTGCGAGCCCGCGGCCCGCGCCCGCTCCCGCCCTCCAGCCACCACGGCACGCAGCCGCCCAGCGATCTCGGGGCAGGCGCGCGCGCGGGCGCGCGCGCTCCGAGGGGCTGGGCGAAGCTGGGTGGGCGAAGTGCAGAGCGAGAGGGAAGTCGCGCGGAAGAAAAGGAGAGGCCCAGCGACCTCGATCAGGGGGACAGCGAGGGGGGGGGGGGCTAGGGGGGAGAATTGGGCAGGAGGGGGGGCGGGGGGGAAAGGGATGCGATGCGAGTGGGGGCCGAGGAGCGGGGGAGAAGTGGGAGAAATGAGGGAGGAGAAAAACGGGGGTGGAGGGAGGGGACGCGGGGCGAGAGCTGGGTGGGAGGGTGAGCAGAAGGGAGTGGAGGAGAGGAAGAAGGAGGAGAGGGAAGCAGGCGCGGTGGGCCGGAGGAAATGCTGGCGGGGGAGGGAGAGGGGGGGGGGTGTGGGGGGCGCAGTGGGCGGGGAGAAGTACAGGACAGACAGGAGGGGGGGGTGGCAGCGGGGAAACGAAAGGGAAACGAGGGCGGGGGGGGAGCTAGGCGCGTTCGCGCCATATGAGACATCCTACCCCTCCCACCCATCTCTTCCCACAGTGCTGTTTTCTCCCCCCATCCGCCGATAAGTGTCATATGGGGGTGGGGAGCGAGAGGGGGAGTGAGTGAGGGAATGGCTCAGTCGTTCGGGTAGGGGAGCGACTGCAGAATTCATTTATCCCGAAATTCACTTTTCCGGCCAGATCCACGAGCCTCGAACCTCGAACGGTGTCCCTGAGGGGAGGGGGGAAGACGGAGGGCCAAGCTCGGACAGCCCCCCGGAGGATGCCCACCCTGGGCAGCTTCCAGGGCGGCGCCCTCCCCCGGCCGAGCGCGGCGGAGGCTGCCCCGAAGACGCGCCGGCAGAGCGGCGCCCCCCCGAACAGCGGGAGGCGCCGCCGCGTCGCCGCCTGGCGGGCCACCTCTGCGGCGGGTCTTGCACATATCGGCGGCGAGCCTCCTTCGCCTCCTCCGCCTCCGCCTCCTCCTCCTCCGCCTCCGCCTCCGCCTCCTCCTCCTCCTCCTCCTCCGCCTCCTCCGCTCGGCGGCGAGCAAAGGGGGGGAAGTGAAAAGGAGAAGGCCCTGTCAGAAAGCGGCGGGGGCTTCTCAGAAACCTCCCGGCCTTCTGAGAGGCTTTCCGTATCTTAGGGGAAGCCTCAGAAAACTTCCCAGAAGGTCCGGGGACTTCCGAGCCTTCTGAAGAGGTCCGCCCCTTCTCACTTCCCCCAGGGTTCGTGTGAGTTGATGTTGTTTATTTGTTCAATTGTTCTTGTTTTCTGTTGTCGTGCGAATGTTTTCGTTGCAGGAATGCCCGATGATGAGAATAGCCAGCGGGCCCACATGCCAACTGCAGCGGCACACGGCGGAACGAGGACGCCAGAATACAAACCAGTGCGGGCCGGATGCGCCGGATGCGGCGTGGGGCCGGCGGGGCGGGAGGAGTCCTGAGATCCTGGCGCCGTGACTGTTCACGACGGGCCAGTTTGCCTTGTGTCGGGCCCCAAGGCCTTCGCGGATCGATCTGTTTCGAACAGTGCCGCAGATAGATGGGGTCTGGGGCCCCGGTCGAGCTTCAGATGTTTTCTTTTCCTGCCATGCTGTATCTCCTTCTCGCGACGTCAGACCTCAGGGCGGGGGCGTGGGGGCTCGTGGCTGCCAAGATCTGCCCCCGACCCTCGTTGGTCGAAAGGGGTATATATATATACATGTATTGAAAACATGTATATGTGTATATATATACATATGTGTATACATATGTGTATGTATACGTTATATGTATATGTATGTATATATATATACTTTTCCCCCGAAAGAAGACTCGTCATGATGACAACTGCCAGCTTCCCAACTGAAAGGGGCGATGACTCCACCAAGCAAGCCTAGAGAAGGTGGTCGGGACCCCTGTCCCGAGCAGTGCAAAGTGGTGGCCAGGCCCACATTTTCGCGTGACGACGAAGAGACCAAAACAGCAAGAAGGCAGAGATACAGCAAGACCACCAGAAGAATAAATAATAAGAGGAGCAAGATACCGGGAACAGCTCACAGGAAGACCGCTATGGGCGGGCCCGAAGGTGGAACCATGGCCTGGGACAGCACAGAGCGACTATGGGTTATACCCCAACGTGCCAGTGCATACGTGTAACTGATAGGAATACGCCCCGATTTCTATCGTCCCAGAAGCAAAGCCAGAGGAGGGAGGAAACGGAGAGGAAGGCATCACAGGTCGGACGGCGGGTGGAAGACCATGTTGAGTTAGTAGCCGTCCCCGGCCAGGATGAAGGCTGCTGGGCGACGGGTGCTGGCGCACCGGTATAGCTAGGAGGCCTCTCAGCTCAACGGCCTGAGCATGGTCATGCTCTGAATTCCGCCCCCCAAGGCCGCGATCGTGGGAGGGTGGGAGGAGTGGGGTGAAGGCGCCAGCCAAAGTCGAAAGGACAGGTAAGAGGAAACGATGTTAGTGTTAGCGGGAATGGGATGGAAATCCTGGTGGTACTGGTCGTTGGAGGCGGGGTTTCCCGTGGTCGTGGTGTGGCGATCGGCGGACCATCGGTCTCCGCTGCCAGCTGGGTTATAATCGCTGCGCCGGCGTCAGGGCGGGAGCCGGAGTCGGAGCAGGAATCGGAATAGGATAAATAGCTGGAGTCGGGGCTTCTCATGGTTGTGCTCCTGGCGAACGTCCGCCACTGCTGGTACTCAGAAGTACGTGTGTGTATATATATAGTTATATAATTACATATATATATAAGAGAGAGAGAGAGAGAGAGAGAGAGAGAGAGAGAGAGATAGAGAGAGAGAGAGAGAGAGAGAGCGTGATCCACCGCCGCTTTACTGTG